CTGCATGTAAAATAATTTTCTGGCACACGCCCCCCGTGGAAATCAGCTACGGTTGACGGGGTCAGCGTGGATAAATAAAGTTCTACTACTACTACTATATAAGATATCTATGATGACCACCCACGCACAGTAACCCACGCCCGCGATCATTGATGAACTTTAGACTTCGCTAATGCTTTCCTTTCCCCGGGGGTAAATAGTCGGGCGGAATTAGTGCCCTAGCCTCGCACGGCGCTTCGCGCCGTTGGCTCGGGGACAATTATAGAATACTACACAGTAACATTTGTAATTAATTTTATATTTTAAAATTATATTTACTTGCCTAATTTGATTCTATGTGATCGTCTTTTATTTCTGGGTGACTGTCATCATTGATGATAGAAATGAAAGCAAAGCATTGAACTAAAATATATGGAACGCTACGTGCAGCCGGAAGTTTGAAGCCGCGATTTCCGGTTAGAACCAAGTCTTTTCCCGCAATAAATACGCGCGGCCAAAGCACAAGCATTAATTTGATTTGATGAATTGTTTTAAAATATCAATCATGTCGCTGCCGAAAGATGTTTCTTATTGAACAAGACGCTCTATGGAGCGTTAACTCGCTGGGGCTATACAAATACGCACATTAAGCCGGTTTTTCACTAGGCAGAATTTTGCGCGCGGAGCGGAATTTTTCTTTGTCTTGTGATTCCTCAGGTGAAATCACAAGACAAAGAAAAATTCCTCTCCGCGCGCAAAATTCCGCCTAGTGGAAATCAGGCTTAATTAGAAAAGACAAAGAAAAATTCCGCTGTGCGCGCAAAATTCCGCCTAATGGAAAACCGGCTTTACTGTATATGATACCAGATACAGTACACAGCTATTTCAATTAAGATCTAAGCCTGGCTGGCCCCGAGCTAAGCGGAAAAGTCGAATACTAGCCTGCGTTGCCGGCAACGAGCGCGAAAGCTTAACACACTAATTAACCCTACAAATAAAACTTCCGGCGTTTATGGCCCACAAGTAAAGTTATATTTTATAGTACGCTACATTCTTCTGTCGGCCGCCAGTTTAAAATGTCCAAACTAAAATATTTTGGGGCTTTTGGGCTCAAAATATTATCAAAAAGAAGAGAGAAGTTAGACGAATTCCCTTGGCTTTCAAAGACAAAGGTCATAAATCGCTAGAATACTGTTGTCAGTTGTTTAGTAATACATTTGACATCCGTAGGTACAATTTCTCGTTCTTAATGTAAGTACAATTTCTTTAAACGCTGAATCGAACGGTGGTATTTTTATCCTTATTGCGCCATTAGGCATTACAAATACAAGGTCGGGACAAACGGCGAGTAATTTGTCAACAATACGTACTGCGAGCGATTTGTTAACAATACAATTTCGCTTGATTTTCAAAGGCCATAAATCGCTAGAATACTGGTGTTTAGTAATACATTTGACATCCGTAAGACCGTAAGTACAATTTCCTACGCTGAATCGAACGGTGGTATTTTTATCCTTATTATCCTTATCCAGTATTAATAGGCATTACAAATACAATATCATATTTCACACTGAGTACACTGCAATTTTCACGGACGTTGTTCGATAAATTTCATATGTGATGTGGATATGACACCAATATGCTTCTCATAAAGTAGTTATTTATTAAAACTACGTTGTGCAGTTTAAGTTATAACCTTGGCTTTTACCTTGAAATTGTCTTTGGCTCGTTTATATTCAGATTCAGTATAATTATTATGATCGTGCACGGGAATTCAACGATCCAAATTTCAGATTTTCAGAGTCGTGCACCAAGAGAAACGCATTAAATAAACTAGCAAGAATGTCCAGAAACATTTTGCCCACTCCACGAAAGTCCCCGCCATTTTGAAAAGGTCAAGCAGCTCATTAATATTCTATTTTGTGGCTATCGATCCACGATCCACTATCCGAGAAAAATGCGAGCCGAAACCTATACTCGTCCGGGGCACGGAGTGCCCCAGCGAGTAATAAACTTTGTCTTTTTAATGAAATTCATTAAACAGAAGAACAGACCATGAGACCATGTCCAGCACATGAAAATGATCCTTCAATTTCAGAAAAAAAGACCAAGATGTGCCTCAAGTGATGAATTACACACAAAATTATATATTCCTCATTCAAGTGTGATCCAGGCTTTATTGATGAGGCATTCTCATCCCTTTCTCAGAAGGTTGAGGCACAGATTACTACACAGAAGTCCATCTCCATTGTTTTTTTTGCGTAAGCTCTATTCGTCATCATTCGTCACTCAGCAAGTACCGTAAACAGAAGCAGTACCCCCCTGGAAATACTAAAAATGGTGTATGTCCAGAGGGTGACTGCTTCTGTTTACGGTACTTGCTGAGTGACGAATCATGACGAATAACGCTTATGCAAAAAAACAATGGAGATGGACGTCTGTGTGGTATTCTGTGGTTGAGGTAAGCATTATCAGCCGAGCCTAGCCCAATCAAATACTGACAAAGATTACTGTTTGGTAATAGATGCAATGCATTGTATATCCGAAAACAAACCATTTGGAATCCAGAAAAAGATTCCTACGGATTTGTAGACTTTGGATTGGAAATGAGATTCCTAATGAACATTTAGAAAAATTGGCCACAGAAGCTTTGGTTTTTCTTCTGGTAGGCACCAGAAGTCATTGGAAATGTCCAGTGGGATACCTCTTGGCTGATAAAATTAATGCAAAGGACCAAGCCACACTGGTAAAAAGTGTCTTGAAAAAGCTGCAAATGCTAATCTAAAAGTGTGGTCAGTAACAGCTGATGGCACAGCTGTTAACATTAGTACATTCAAAACACTGGTAACTATGAATCCATCAAAAGCTCTTTTAAGAATCCAACAACCAAAGATGTCATTGTGATACTCGACCTTGGTCCCTGTCCATGGGATGCTTTATTGATGGAGATGACAACATCATAAGATGGAAACATATCGAAGAGCTTCAGAATATTCAAGAACAAGGGTTGAACCTGGCAAACAAACTGTCCTCAAATCACATACAATTTCAGTTACTCTGTTGCAGATGCGATTGAGCTTCATGCATATTTAATAAATTTAGCAAAGGCACTTATGTGTTTACAACTTTACAATGCCACTCTGAATCTCTGATCCATGTCGTTTGTGTACACATTCAATTTGAACGAAAAAATGTTTCATACCGATCGAATACACGTATGAAAAGTTATGATTCGTACTGTATTGAATGAAAATTTAAGCGATTGCCTTCCTTTTCAAAACCTTTTCAATCACATGTCGCTATAACGCATGTTGGTTGGCTGTCGCTGTTCTTCGGCGCCACGCAGGAAACGCGACAACGCGCGTGAATTTTACCTCCAGAGACGCGTATCTGGCTTCAGGCAAGTCTGGGCATGTTCAGTTATGGTAGCGTTCCATATATTTTAGTTCAATGAAGCAAAGGCTAACGATTCCCGTTTCAAAACCAGCGACACGAACATTTCAACTCGAAAAATATCCCCTTAAATTGTTTTGTTCTCGGTAAAAATTCGCCAGCGTATAGAATAAACACCCATCTTCGAACATATAAGGCAATATTAACATATCTTATAATTTTTGGAATGGATTTTTAACAAAATGTTTCCGGAAACCCAAACTCTATGGAACTTTGAAAGATGATTATACTACCGCGCCTGCTTGGCGACCTAGCCTCCTTTACCGTTTGGATTGTCAGGGGGTGATGCAAATAACAAACACATATTTCCGGCAACAGCCAGCCAATCAACGCCGCGATAGCGACTCTTTACAATATTTGAAATCTGATATTGTAATTTGCAAAACTCTTTCGATCGTATACACTACTATACGATCGATTCATCGAAAGAGTTTGGCAAATTACAATATCAAATTTCAACTAGAGGGCACTCAGAGACTGCATACCTCCGCCCGTTACTCGGAAGTGAAACGCAACCTTGGAATTTCCTAAGAAATCCACTTTATAATTCTTAAGCATAAAAGATTTCAGGCCCCCGCGAATTGAAATCGAATTGCTAATAGAACATATTACTGTTGTTGTACTGTACAGTACTTGTAAAATAAAAACTTATTAAGTGTCATTAAATAAATGCATAAATTTTGCTTTATGCACTCGCGCGTGCAGTAATTTTCACAGTTGTGCCATTTTAAATTCCCAGGCAGCTAAAATCTTTTGTCTTTAAAACAATGTCGATTTCTTGGGAAATTCCGAGGTTGCGTTCTTTTTATACACCCTGTATTGAAGTAATCTAATGTTGTTAGAATTTGAATGGACTGGCACTTTGCTGAACGTAATAATGCGTAACTCCGTAAGCCTTGTTTTAGACATTGAATTTCGGTCGCGTGAAATGGCGACTAAGACAATAGATAATGAAGGCCGAAGCTTAATGAGGTTTATCATCTCATTATTGTCTTAGCACTGAGTGCATAAATTATACACGTCCTAATTACGCATTCAGTAATATTTTTTGTTAATTGACCGGGAAAAGCAAGACAAAATTTTGTTCATTTCTCGTTCAATTTTTAACCAAATTCAACCAAATTTTAATCAGTTCTTCCCTAGCCGATGGGAAATGCATTCAAAAAATTTCGTACGGATATGTTTGGTATTTCTTGAGTTATCGTGCTCACAGACAAACACACACACATACACACACACACACATACACACACACACACATACACACACACATACACACACACACACATACAAACCCAGATGATTACATAACCTCCTGGCGGAGGTAATTAGTTACATTTTAGGGCGTGGGGCAGTTGCCCCTGCTGCTCTCTGTGCAGTGTACAGCCCTGTTAAATTTGTATTACGTTTGATTTTAAAATCTTATTTGCTATTATATTTATCATGATAAGTGATGAAAGCAGGGAAGCTTGTAAAAGTTAGGGGGGGGGGGACTAAATAGCTGGCTGTATAGACACTTTGATTATTGTTTGCATGAAATTTTTATTTCCTGACTGATTTCCACGAGGCCCCCCGGCTTCCTACGCCCCTGAATGAAAGTAGACATGGGTTTTTGTTTGGTGGCCCAACCATAGACATACAAAATAATTGGCGGCCCATCGAAACTGCCCAAATATTTTCCATGGCCCATCCCAAATCACTCCGGCCCACCCTAGCAGTTAATTACTTTATAACAGGTCCCTAATTGCTTAATATATCAGCCACCATCCTATACTTATAAACACCGACCTTTTTTAAGCTCTCTCGCTTCTTCTGAATATTTTAACGCTTCATCATGCTCTCCGTCGGCTTTGCAGATTGAGCTTAGGCGATCAAGAATTCTAACAAAACCTCTCAATCTCTCTCCGGTCATGTAATTAATTTTCCTGCTGATTTTAACAGCTTCCGTGTAGTATTTCTTCGCTTGTTGACTGTTTCCCATTAGTTCTGCAGCTAAGCCAATACTTTGATAGACCGTTTCCATGTCATCATTTGCGCTATTTTCTCCAAAAATTGCGGAATTCATGCTGAGAGCATCTTGGAAGCACTCGTAAGCTTTAGTGAAATTACCATGTATCATGAAATAACTTCCAATTCCATGAAGAATATCTGAAGTGATCTTATTAGGTTGATTTGGTCCCAGAATTGTATCCATTATTTCCTTTCCTTCTTGAAAATACTCCAGAGATTTCTCCGAAGGCATTAAAGCCTTTCCCAAATCAAACAGGATTCTAGCACAAACTGCGTGAGGGTTCAGTCCACGGCCGGGTGTTTTACCTACATGAAAAAATGAGGTTGATTCAGGTGTAACACCCTCAAAGGAAATTCAACGAACGGGGCCCAATTTTCCTGGAGGGCCCCCCAAATGATGGAATTGCGGAACGTGTTAAGTGTCCCTGCAATTACCTTTATACAATGTTATTACAAGAAGAAAATTAGTGAAATACTTATACTAACTTTATTTATGCTGAATAGCTCTATCAGTCCTAAACTGTTTTTCCTATAGGCTAGAGGTCCAGTAAGAGTCATTTCTTATTGATCCTGTATCACTACAGGAGGAAAATTTGCTTTATCTGTTTTAACTGTTCGTCCTAGGGGACTAGTAAGAGCTTTCTACTGTTTAATGTTATATTAAATACGCATTCGCGTCCGTGTTGTATCGTGTTGTTTTGTATATCCGATACAACACGGCCGCTCATGTTGTAAACATTACTTACAGAAGGTGAAATCAGAAAACGTGGTAAAAATCAATGGTGTTTGGTGGAGTCAAACATTGTATATATTACATACTATTGAGGTGAAATTATTATCAGACAAGTGCATACTCGAACCCAGCCAAAGAGGTAAAAGGCACATCGAATAAAAACTATGCAACCAAACCTCTCAAACAGACACACACCACCCTATTCGATGACTGTCACTGTCTTTCTTATTTCTAATTATGAAGCTGTTTATGTCCTAAAACAAGTTAGCTTAAACTTACAATCTTACCTAGTTTGAGATTATCGCCAGAACCAATAATTCGAAAGCATTCCAAAGTTCTTTTGCCGAGAAACACGGCTTCATCATTCAAATTACAACGTTGGTATACGGAGGCTGCATATGCATACGTTAGAGATAGCTGAAAAGTTAAACTATTCTGACCACACATCTTATGACTGAGGTCTATCGCTCGTTTCATATATTTAATCGTCTGTTCATGTTGATCCTGAGAACTTAACGCCAAAGCTAGGTTAAGGCTTAAATTGTGCATAAGCATATCAGGAACGCATCTTAATCTATTATACATCTGTTCAACTTTTTGAAGAATTTCAATGGCTGATCTGAAATTTCGGGAAGGCACATTGAGTGCGCCGAGGGTTTGCATTAATTGTCCGAGCATGATTGACTCGGAGCCTTCACCATATACCTCGTTATGTCTCTCAATCCCTGCTTCCAGCCAATATCTAGCCTCTTCAAACTTTTCCAGACATGCTAGTGTCATTGCTAGATTATGAACGGATATATGCAAGCTTTCATATGATTTTCTATTTATGTAATGGGCAATCACGAGTTCTCTAAAACATTCCGTACTCTTCTCAAGTTCTCCATTGTTATGGTAAATAACGCCTTCAATGTTAAGATTTTGTAGGTAGTTCGGACTATCTTTCGATTCTAATCCAATCCACTCTAAGGCTTTAGGAAAATTTTGCAGTCGAAAATAAAGAAGCCCAATTAGATGTGCATTAGAAGATGGAATGAATGGATTCTTAAATATGCTGGTGTCGATTTCGCCTGTTTGAAAGAGCTTCAGACTAAACTCCTGACAGCGATTATGCATCTCAATGCTAATACTTAGAAGACGTACTAAAATATCGTCATCAAAATAGCGGAAAATAGGAACACTGGTGGATTGCTCCGTTGCGTCAAACTGAGGAACAGCCGAGAATAGTTCTGCCTGTTTATTATTAGCAAGGTACGTTTTCAGCCGTATTTCGTTTGCAATAGACAGACACGTTTCGATGCTGGCACTTTCACCAATGAATCCCCGAGTCTGTAACTCCGAAACAATCTGCCAGGGAGAGGGAAACATGATGTTGAATATCAGTCCCAAATCTGAAAGAAGTAGCGAGATGAGACGATAGAATTCCTTTTTAGCATCGAAAAGACCTCCTTGGACTAGATAAGTATTAAGGTAGGAACCGTACGGATTGAAGTCTTGATTGTCTTTCACCATTTGTCGAATTCCTCGGATGAAGCCAACTGTTGGAGCGTATCTGTCATCTGTTGAAGATGATGTTGAATTTAGTTTTTCAGCTACGCGTTTATTATATTCATCCAGTAAAGCTTGGTGTCCATACAGCAATACAGCCCTGGACATAATATCAGCTAAATAAAAATAACAAATATTAATACAATATTGTAATACAACATTATTAAATGACGTTTTATAAATTGCTCCACATACCAGGCAGCTACAAATGTATGTAAATTCCTGTGGCTTATTACTCGTGCTCCAGGGGAGCTCAAGCCTAGGTTTCACCGTGTTGTAAATCCGCAGGTCGCGTTTTGGCCTTCGTTGACCTAGTAATGCATTGCGCACTTGTAATCGTGATTTCACAATATGGCCACTGTGAGGAGGGGCGAAATCAAAGTTGCGAAATGTAATTATCAATATTATAAATGTAGTCCGACAATACAATGCGCACGATGCAAAATATATATGCACGGAAGACCACACCGCAACATTGCTTGGTGCACAGTGTAATATTTGTTACTTTGAAACGTCACTGAAGCCTCTAGGCATGTATTTGTTACGTCACATGCAGAGGAAGCTTGCGTGATGAATCAGATTGAACAGTACGACCGGATCGTAAGGATCAATTATTCATGCTAACGAAGAAAACGAAGAAAAGATTACTTGACGCTACTTGAGGAACAAGAGGACACCAAAGTAGGATTTATATATTTGTTTTGTTTGTTTAATTAGTTTAGAAAGCATGCGCATATTATATTTAGACACCAGCAATTTAACGTAGTCCAGTTGATTTAGTACATTATTATAACTATTGCATGGTATTTACTGTAGTTTAGTCACTATTTCTCCTTATAGTTTGAACTCGTTTAATTGTCGTTTGATTATTGCTATACTTGAACACTATTGATACATCGAATTAAAGAAATCTATACGTCTATTCATCTACTCTCTATCTGCGTAAAAGACGAAGTTCGAAACCCTCAGGCTACTCAAATAACCCCCCCCCCCACCCCACCGGTAAGCTTCAAGAAATCAGTCCACCCTATTGCTACGGAAAGAGCTTACAATAATTCATAAGTGAAACTGAAAATATGTCATTGATGTTTGGGATGTACAAATGTTTATAAACGATACTAAATACAGTACTTGAATATGTCAAGTGATAACAACATCGAACAATACCAATCAATACTGCTACAACCAGTTTTTTGAAGCAGTGTGTTTTGTGAACTCGAGACCGCCGTTGTTGGCCGAGGGCAATAACGGCGGTCGAGTAAACAAGGTCTCAGTAAATAAGTGATAATTGTGTCCCTCAAGTAATGCTAATCCTTGGAGCACGAGTGTACGCCTGAGCTGGCGTCTTGTTTAAGTTTCAATTGACGTGGTGTCGTCTAGCCTCCGCAACGCAGACCGTGTTTCGCTCCCCCGAGACGAAACACAGTCTGCAAACCCGAGAGAGAATTCTATTTCAGTGACATAATGCATTCGTATATAAGCGACCAATGAAATTCCTCGTTGTTCGGGGTCACATGCCCCCCCCCCCCATTTTTACGGTCGGGCAATTGAGCAGAAATCCATGCATGTGTCATTCGGGCAAAACATATAACTCTCATCAAAATTGATAAGAAGAACCTTGGTCTGCAATGAATAATTAAATATAAGAATGTCAATATTAATTGCTTTTAATATGCTTTGCCATATATGAAGAGCACCTGTATATGAATGATGATGGCTTATGGCAAAGATTATGAAGATTGCAGAAACATTGAGCATTGTTCTTAGTTTTTGTCACAATCATACTCATTTGTTTATAAAAGCACATACAAAATCCAGGGCCTTTTTTAACCTACAAGCGGGGGGGGGGGCAGGGGGCAGTATGCCCCCACACACGTAACCTTTGTGCGTTTTTTTCCTTATTTTATTTCAAATACAAGTATAGTTAGCATAACTTTTAAAGCAAATTGGATGCTCAGAATGCAGAAAATTGCATTTTCGGGGTTTAAATTAAAAAAAACCCCTGGGGATTCATGAGTGAAATGTCGGCCACATGGCTATCCCCCATTAATATATTATCTCACAGTAATGTCTCTTTTCAACAAATGTCCCCCCCCTTACAGGAAAATCCTTAAAAAGGCCCTGATAAAATCTCGAACAAAGTTGTATATGTGTACTGTGTAAGAAAAGCAGTCGGGCAAACTAATACTGTTGTCCCCCCCCAAAACAAGATTAGGCCTGTACGTTCATGCACCTATCTTTATGTTGCAATAGCATTGATAATTTGAAATGTGCAAAACTTGACGAGTTACTCTCAATTGTGTTGACTCATATTCAAATACTGTGACTTTGGATGCCACTCATATTAAGAGAAATATAGCACACCACAGTTGTACTGGGCAGGACCAGTCCATAAACCAACTGAGTTTTCTAACTTTCTATATAGATACATTCTTGTTGTTAGTTCTGTAATTATTTTTCTACATAACATTATTTTGCACGCCCTAATTGATGTAAACATGAAAATACAAATGAGCTATTAATATTAAATTGTATTACTTTAGCAATACTATATGTACTGTATAATTTTTTAAAATTTAATTATTAAAGCTGGGTGTGAACTTCGTATTGCGTGCGATTTTCTGCACACAATAAATAATAACAATCTCAAAATAGTTCTGATATTTTAACAGACATAAGAAAGGGCCATATTTATCACTAGTCATACTTTAAGTAAAAGATGGAAACTTAAATAAAAATATTACATCCACATCATAATTGTTAAGAAATTATTGATTCAAAAGAAAAACAAAAATCTTTGGGAAATCAAAACCTATTTACCGTTCTGGCGCAATTTCATTCAATAATATAGAAGATATATATACTGCATGAATTCAAGCGTGCGACCTTGCCAACCTGATCTTTCATAGACTTCATAGTTCATAACTGACTTATATTATTAAAGTAGTGAGACTTCGAGTGAGATTACAGGAACGATGGATTACAGATTTGTCGTATCCCGTTGGAAGATTGACAAAAATGTCAATCCCTTTCTCTAAAATATGTGTAATCGCCTCAATTTGGAATTTATTCAATCCCTGGAGACCAAAAACCTTGCAAACGTTTTCAAACACAGCCTCCATATCGCTTTTAATATAATATTGTGATAATCAGATGTGATATAATTTGCGCGTCCGTCCCACGACGCCGTATATTGCCATGTGAATGTCCCGCGGGCTATCTTACCATTTCCTGTAGGCGATTTCTGATTGGTGAAAATTCTCTCTCGGGTTCGCAAACTGTGTTTCCCGAGCTGGCCGTAAATTATTTAATGCCCAACCGTCCAGCTACACTAGCAGGCTTAACTATTCAGCAGTAAGGTTCAACTGGTTTTCTGGTTCAGCTTGTTAACAGTATCTAGTAGTATCTACCAACCGAGAGCTTCCTATTTTGCAACATGAGAAACAATCTTACCTAAGTGATAATCGTCTTTTACAGCTGTTTCTTCATCTTGTAATTCAGCCATTTTTTCAGGTGTTCTGATCAGCTCTACTGCGGGCTTTTCCTTCGTTGCCATTCTTCCTAGCGGGGTTTTTGAAGCCCATGGCATCGCCCCATCAAACGAAATACCTCGAGGTGTTACCGAGTCATAGAACCAACTGCCGTCGGCTTTTGAGGACTGAAAATCGTTGAGCTGTTCAATCCCTAAAGCTGGTAGGATTGTCTCTCCCAAATTAATAACTTTCAAATGAAGAAAATGAGTCAGTATACGAAAGTAGCTGATCTTGTCCCCAATAGAAAGGTCTGAGTATAGAATAGCAAACTCCAGATCTGAAAATGGTGTTGCTTCCATCCGCGCTACCGACCCAAGGGCAATAATGGCGTAGTCACACGGTGGTGGACCAAGTCTATCTTCACATTCTTTGACTAACATTGACACAAGCCTGGTGTACATATCTTGAATGTCTCGGAAAACGTCGTGCACCTTATCTGCATGGATCTTAAACAGAAAGATATCGTGTTTGTTCAAAATTGCAAAAATAATAACAGGGTTATTTATAGGCGCGAAAAAAGGCCACGGCTTAAATCGCGAGTTTATCTATTGGTCGAGTGCAATCTCGTACCCAGAGTATGCCCGTTCGCAGGTTAGGTGCTAGGGATGACTCTGGAGAAACAGAATACCGGATATCCAGTTTTGGATACCCGGTTAATTGTGCGCATGCTCATGCTCAAACCGCAATACTGAATTCACGCGGGTGTCATTAGTTGCAATTAGAGATAAAATCGTAGGATTTGTCGGATGTTTGATACTTTTTACATTGAAATCAATTGAAAAAGATATATTTTCTCAGGCTTTCTAATTTAGGCCCCTGTTTTGTTTGTTTCGTTCGCGGGCGAGAACGAACAAAAATATATGTCTGCCTCTTTACGCTCGTTGCCCTCCTTGACCAGACACAGCGGCACGCGCTGGCCAAGGAGGTTTTCTTGTATTTGTAATATCCTTCTTCTAAGTCTTATAAACTTTTCGACGACAATAAATCCAATAATATCAATTTATTCTTCTTGAACAACAACAAACTACTATTTCTAATCCTTTCTAATAATCTTCTAACTATCTTTCTTATTTAACTTAAAGTGCCTATATCACTTGTGGGATATTTATGGATTTGGAAAGAGCACAAAAAGTTAGTTTGTAAGTTCTTCAACCTTTTTTGATTTGGTTCAGTATTTTCCGAGATATTGACCCTCAAACATGACAATTTTCAAAAAAATCCGTCGTGCTTGGGGGCCTGGGACTCAGGAACGCGAGCGTAAACAAACACTATAGAATTGTATTATATTTTGACGCTGTAACTTACTAAAGTGAGAATTTTTGCAAGAAAATTCGGTTTATTAAGCTCAAAATCGTTCTCTGGTACTGAAAAAAGTTCCTACGATTGAGCTGAATATAAAACTGAAGATGAAACGTACAAAACCACTTCAGAATCAAATTTGAAAGTGCTCCTTCGTAGATGGCATCTAGCTTCGTCGAGCATGAAAATGTTGGCATTTAAAGCTACACTGACGAAATATGGGCCAAAGAATACGTTTGAAAGTGGAAGAATAAAACAAGGAAATAAGGAAATTCATTTTCACATGAAACGGACCTTTATACATGTACAGTATATCGTGATAGTTCTTCGTATTAAAGTGAATAATATATTTTCTATATGTAAATGTTTTGCCATTTTCTATATGTAAATGTATTTGCCATTTGCAATTTAATACCATATTTTGGGTTGTCTTTGAGTAATTATGTTTTGCAGCTTGAATTATTGGGATATAAAAATTAAGTAAAGGAGGAGCTTTTTCGATTCTATTTTGTACTGTTGAAAATCACAATACATTTCATGATTCAATGATTGTATTAGCTTTATTGCTGCAATAGACCAATATATAAATACTTGGCTTGAATTTATGGCTTTGCTGTTATTAAATGGTAAAGCTCCCAACATTCCAACCCTTGCCAAACAACCTGAACTTGTGAGGGTTGGAGCCATGATGACATCAGTTTATGTGTGCCTGGTTTGCAGGGCTGACCCTGTTTGAAAGGTCTTGTATGAAAATTATTGAGTGGAAATTTATATACATTTATTAAATATCCTTCTGTACAAGACCCTTCAACTATTATTGAATTGAGTGAGAAGCCAGGTTCCCGAGAGCACAACCTGGAGACAAAAATTTCCTTTATTAGTATTAGAGTATTTTTGTGCTAAATCTGCATGTGCATAAACATATAGTGTTCGAGCTGACCATGGTTTTAAATTCAAGGAATAATGTCTGTCAACCATATGTTGTTGCACCCATAGTGGGACATGGTTGTTAAGGTTTCCTTCAAATGTTAATCAATAGCAAATCTTCATTCAAACAAATTTCCTGCAGCTGTTTAACATTTACTGCGCATGAGCAGTGCTCACCTATTTTTTCCACCCCTGTATATATTGGTTACAGCAACGCTGCACCGGAATTGCAGGGCAGGTTGGATTTCTGCCAGCGATCAGCAGTTGCATTTCGATTTTTCACAACTTTTCCTGGTTAGGTATAATAAATGCATATAAACTTCTACTCGATAATTTCCATCTATACAAGACCCTTCAACTATTATTCAATTCTGTATAACCTGTCTTCCTAAGCTGTTCTTGTTGATCAAGTTTTTAAATAAACATTTTCCTGTACACAGTAGCATGAATTCAGTTCTTTTTTTCATGACTTTGACTCCTTTGTCTGTTGATTTTTTTTTTTAAAAATAAACTAAGATATTATTTGTGCACTATGTGTGCTGTAACTTTATTAAATGCAAGTTAATGACAAAAAAATCAAGCATCCATTAAATTAATTAAAGTTGGACTATTAACGCCAAATAGAATTTTTGGTTTGTGTGATATTTGGGTCAAAATTCTAATAAGAAATGTAATGTATCTTTATAGTAAAAATTCACCTAATGACATCATATCTGGAAACTTTGACAGTGAAAAGGTCGATGAAGAAGGGATTATTTATTATAGAGATAACATTTCTTCGAACGAATGACACATATATTGCACATACCAAAAATCATATTTGTGGTTAGTCGTGCTTTAAAATTATATTTCTTATTTCTCATTTTCCAAATATTCATATCCTTTGAAGTCATCATCTTTCCCATTAAAAACTGCAGATAGTTTGATAAACAGAACACAATGGTATTATTTCATCTTTTTTACAACCATGAGCTAATCTGGTGAATCACATGTATGCTACTGATATAAAGACCTAAAAGTAGAGATATAATTATACCTTAGACTTTAATAATGTATTCTTTAATCAAGTAAAGATGAGGCAAACCAGTGATCTGTTATACAGCTTATTCAAGAGTCAAGACACAGTAATCTGTGCAGCTCAAGCTTTGCCTTGACATTAGCAAGGTGCATTAACCTTTTCCTATAATAAACAGAAACTTTGCATGGTCCTATTAAACTGAATATGTCCAAAGTTTATAAAAATATTAAGTTAAGACTAAAAAAATTACTTCTCCTTTGAATCAGCTTATACCACATGTTTGTGCAATAAAGCTTTTCAAATGATCAGATCAAAAGCAATTGAGGCAAATAGAATCAATTCCTGCATAATTATTTTGTGAATGGCAAATCAAACCGGTTATCCCTTGTCTATATCAAATTTTATAGTGTTTTTCAATAGTTAAGCTATAATAGTATTGAATCTAAAATACACAATTTTTCGTTTGTTTACTTGCAGTCGCAGAATATTAATTGCCAAATGAGTCGACTATCACACGATATTTACAAATGGAAAATATTCGATTCACTTACCGAGAACTAACACGATTATGCCCGTTCCATCTATAAATAATTTCTTTACATCCCTGTTATATTCTTCTAGCTTTCAAAACATATTCTTCAGTGTATGCCAACTCTTTCATGCTCGACAATTATGCAGCCAATGCTTGACGACATTTAGGAAGGCTCACTTTCAAATTTGATATTGAAGTCGTTTTGTGCGTTTCACCACGATTTTATATTTCGCGCAATCGTATATGAACTTTTGTCAGCACTGGAAGACGATTTTGAGCTAAATAAACCGAGTTTTCTTGCCAAAATTATCATTTTAGTAAGTTATAGCGGCAATTTGTAATATAATTTATAGTGTTTGTTTACGCTCGCGTTCCTGAGTCCCAGGCCCCCAAGCAAAATTTAGTACGACGGATTTTTTTCCCAAAAATGTCAAAATTGCCATGTTTGAGGGCCTATATCTCAGAAACTATTGACCTAAATCAAAAAAGGTTGAAGAACTTGTTAAATAACTTTTTGCGCTCTTTTCAAATCCGTAAAGATCCCACAAGTGATATAGGCACTTTAAGCTTTCTCTACTTATATACTATCCGAAAGATATTTATAGAATATTACATAAACGCTATTTTTAGATCACGTATAAGATAAATATAGCAAAACCATTAGTCAGCATAATTACGTAATGTCTTAATTAAGATTATAATATAGCATTTGTAAATTCTGAACGTCGGCTTTTGACATTGCTATATAATAAAACAAATATAAAACATTTTTCCGCATTGATATATAGTTATATCAACACTTGTGGAAGTTGGGAAAACTCGATATTCTGTGAAAACACT